TTGCCTTATAAGATATTTATATATCTGATGCGCTTCCCATCACTGCCTATGACAAGAAGCACGGTTTTACATATACATTTGTATATATATATGTATATTTATATAGATTATTTTACAGCTTTTATCACAGATGAATAATCTATTTAATTTGTATGCAGTTTGACTAAAGACTGAAACCTACTTAGGCGTTGCCTGGGGGAGCTGAACTGCATTAACAAATACTGCTAGTGAAACCAAGTCTGTATGTAAAGGGATAGTCTGTTATGTCGGAAAATAGCTTTTTTAGCTAGTGTTATTATATTTATTGAAACTGACTTTAAATTAAGATTATCTTATCTTTTATTTTATCTTATCTTATCTTATCTTATCTTATCAGCTTTTTCTTCAATATTCTAGCGAATTAATCACACAAATACAGATTTAACCCAAACACGAAGTAAAGAATTCTCAGCACGTCAGATATTTTCCAATAATTAGTATCATCTCAATACTTTTACACCAACTGTCACCACCATTCTGAAGTAAGACACGGAGTCAGTTTATTCCTATATTAATTAAGTGTCATAAAACAAGTTGTCGACAACAATGTTTCGACGCGTTCTACTTATGTGTACTTTTCGATTTCAGTAGTTTGTCATCAAATATCCTGAGCAAATACTTATGTTTTTATGTTCGTACATATGCATACCTCGAAAATTTATTAAACTATATTCAATTGGTGACAAATGCCGAGTCGGTTTGATATTTTCTTTTTTAACCAGCAGTACTTATTAATGCACAAAAGCCTACTACTCTCCCCTTGCATCTCCTCGTAACAACTTGGTTTCACTAGCAGTATTTGTTAATGCAGTTCAGCTCCCCCAGGCACCGCCTAAGTAGGTTTCAGTCTTTAGTATAAGGAAATGTTATCGATTTTTACATTTTGTTATACTGTAAATGTGTGACAACCTCTCATATATTAAGCAGAAGCAAAAATTCTTGATAAACGAACAGATGAGTATTACCCACAATCATTTCTGAAAATTATGGTCATAATAACACGATTCTTTGGTTTACTCAATTTAGTATTTAAAAAAGTATAAAGTACAAAAAATCCTTTTTTTGCGATGTTTATTTTTGTATTTCAGCATATAAACTATTCTATTAGTACGTTAAGGTGCTCACTTTAAAGCTCATATTCGTTGTATTCTTTTTATTTTTCAAAAACCTTAACAACACATGAATTGCTGTTAAAATATTTCCCTTACTGATATTATAGTTGTCGCAATTATAAGAAAATGCCTTGACACACTTGCAAGATCAACAACACAAAAACCGAATAGTGCATCAGCTGTGATATGGCAGTTTATTGAATTAAGTATTTCTCCGCAGATTTCAAATCTTATTATTTTTTCTTATACGCCTCTTTATAATATTGACATTTTGATTTCGTTCAGCCGCTTGTAAGTGACCTGTATGTATCAACAACTGTGTGCTAAAAATTAATTTGTGATTTTGAAGGACTGAGCCAAAAATATCGAGTAATTTCTGATAATATTGTAATCAATGTTGACCGCTCTTTGTTTGGTGCTATAGTACATTTTTTTTGCAACATGAGAAGGCGTTTTTCAGTGTGATCTCATTTTGAGAGGTCATGAGAATGATTGCTGGCGGCTCTATTTTTTGCGTATCAGTTTCAAGTTAATGAAATCCAGTCCCATTTAAAGTCATTAGAATCAGACTACAAAAATTGATATGCGCATGTTCCGCTTCAAAATACGATTTTACTTAAACGGAGGTGAACAAATCGGTAAAAGGAAAAATCGAAAAATATCATTTACGTTATATTATTCACTACACTACGAACAGTGGTTCATTCCGGTTGTAATAATTTAATATGTATAAATTGATTATTGTTTTTTGAATTGCGTTTTATTTTTTCATGTTTCGAAAAACGTGACACTATAGTTACAATATCACGAAGCCCTATTATATGACCAAGTGAATCGTGTAAAGACCTCTGGCATGCTTCTTTATAAAGAACCGAAGATGTTTTTTAAAAGAGATTAAATAATATTGCACAGATACTTAATATGCTCATTGTGTTCAGCAATACTGGAGAAAAACTATAGGATAAATAGATAAACTCAAAAGGCAGTTCACGACTAAGAAATAATGCTTCAAAATAATAAGATAAATTATCATTTTATAATTATTGTAAATGTTCGTAAAGATCATATAGTTTTAAATATAACATTCCTTAAATCTTGGACAAAAATTTTTAAGAGAGGATACAGTTGTCTCTTCTGTCCGCAAGAGACTGAAATGAAAAATACCTATTTCTGCAAAGCTTTATATTACACTTAGTTTCCGAATCAAGGACTGTATTTTCTTTATTTCTGATATCGGACTACTTTCGTTAGCGCAATGTGTAAATAAATATTTCACTTTGCTTTACGCGTATAATTGTCATTTGAACATAGAATTCATTTTATTTCTTAAATTCTGTTTGTGCTTAATAATCAAACAAATGAAATGTGAGACTTTAGATCACGGTTTTCATCTGAAGACATAATGATATCTTATCAAATGTAAGGACACACGAGATATGTTGGGCATGCTATTGTCTCTCTTGAACTAACTCAAAGAAAATCAATTCTGCAAATTAATTTCATTAATTGCTTTTGTTGTCATTACTCTCGAGAAAATCACCCTTCTTCAGCGTTTATACTGAAGTTACTCGGAAGTGGCATTTATTTCTACCAGATTTTATGACCATTGGTGGCAAGTATTCGTTTAGACATGTCTGCTTCTGGTGCGAAAGTTGTTACATTTTTCCTTGATTCTGACGAATCCGCTCAAATAAGCAGAATCCACAAAATAGACACCTTTGAGTTAATTATCTACAAGGTGTTATAGCAATTTTGCTTATGTTTATCATAAACCAGGTTTGTTCTAAGTATGATCAAGTGTCTACCATTGTCAATTATTAAGAGGTTTCAGTAACATGCGTTTTATCTTCATTATTTGATAGTCATTTATTTTTGTGTTTCTTTATGAAGCTAAATTTAATTATATTATGTTTCAAAATAAATTAATTGCACGAATTCAATAGCATTATTTTGATATGGCAATTTGAAACATTAACTCTATAAAAGATTTTTTAAAAACAATACAGACATTATGATGTTATCATTTGCAATCATTTAAAAAAAGTTTTGTTGTGTATTTGCAGTGAACATTCTAGAAAAAATGTACGCAACAAAGACGTAATAATGAAATTCAATGCTCTAAATGTTTTGATTGTTTTCTACCAAGCTAATCCAGAAGAAAACAATAAAGCACTGCCAGTCACTGACAAGGAATGAATGTTTAATAAGTATATCAGCTTTCAACCTTAACGGAACAATTGATTCTCTATATATAATAGATGAGTGCTAAGAACACTTTCGTCGGTTTAGGCACCTAGCGATTTCTGCGTTGATAGCATCAACAATAGCTTAATGACCATTTCTTTCAATTCCATTTTTGTTCTCCAATTTCTTAAGTGCAAATTGAATTCATTTCTAAATCTGTTGTCCCACATTCTAGGATTTTTATTTCTAGCATGTAACATCGATGAATGTTGCCATGCAAACACTTTCCCAATGGTGTTTCACGTTAAGCCTAATTAAAATAACTTTGAATGAAGTTTAATATAATTATTATTGTTAATTATCTTGCTAATTTAATCTAATGTTATTTAATGTTTTGTTAGTATTGACAAAATACCATTTGAGCAATTTAGTTTTTGTTTTTTGTAGAGATTAAAACATATTCAAAAGCAAGGATAATGTGCATTCACTCGGCAGAACTATATATAAATGGTAACTAATTCAATGTAAAGTTATTGTATGAAATATTCAACATGTAAACTATTATACTTCAGAAATAATGTGACAAGAATACAAAAATAATGTGACAAGAATAAGATATGATATCTTACCAATTTGAAGAAAATTAAAATCAAAGTTCAATCATTAAAGTAAAAGAGTATTTGTTCGGTCGGGTATGTGTTATTGTATACAGTTAATAGGTAATATTTATTTGTATGTTTACACAAATAAAGTTACTGAATTTAAATAAAATTTATTATCTTATCCTATTACAAAGACATTGTAAAATGTAATTATTAATAAATACAAAATTAATTTGACCTTAAAAGAGTACTTGGAAATGAAACGCTTAGAATATGTTATTAATTGCGTTGATATATTTTTGTTTCGTCTTGTTGTTTTCTTTTTTATACAAGAAATTAGACTTTAGTTCTGGTCCCGTTGTTTACCTTTTGTTGCTCATTCATTTTCACAAAGCAATACCTTGCAAAATGAAAAAAAAAGTTCGCCATGTCTAATAAATCGTAAAGCATGATAATAAATCTTGTAGCGTTTAAGGTGCGTTCAATACAAAGTTAAAATGGAAAACAAACGCAGGCAACATATGGTAAAATCAAATGATCATAATGAGATCTGGTGAATAATACGCCATAAAGTGGTTTCTCTTAGAAAAGATATTCAACAGGTCTAATCTTGTATTTTAAAAGCCACTTCTCGATGTTTGATCTATGAAAGATTTCTTGCAGCGAAGTCTAGACTTCAGAACAATACCACTGCCATAAAACTAGCAATAAAACCTTTGGAAAAAGACCATATTTGTTGACAGTCTGACCTATATTATACATACCAGCACCAGAGGTTTCTTTATATACTTAAATAAAATTGTTGATAACAAATAAAACGATATTGCCTTCGTAAGTGAAAATGTCAATAACTTGTATCCACTTTCATGTCAACATAATACAATAATACATGTGAAAACACTTTCACCTATTCAATATTTATAAAACAAATATCTCCGGAAAAAAACTGCCGAGAAAACAAACACTATTTCATTGATTTGTTTCCTCCATTTTATTTGTTATTAAATTGTTAAGCAAACATAGTTTTAATTTGTTTTTAAAAAATCATGTATATAAAACTTACCGTCGCTATCGTAATGGTTCCATACTTCCATAAATTGACTTGCAGATATTTGTTTGAACTCCCTAGTCTCCTTATCTCGAAATTGGCGCAAGAAATTATTCTTGCTTTCCTTTTTCTCCAACATAGGTACTCGCTTTTCCGCCATTTCAATAGAAATTATCCTCAGCTTGATGTCATTCAAGTATACACAGTGTCACTTTTCTTATTGTCAACTAACTCCTATCGTCTGCTACAGACAGATTGTTGTTACTGCGCATGAGCGGGGATCGGCGCGTGCAATCAATACTAACTTTCAGCAACAGGTGTCAAATACAGATCTCTGTTAAGTCTTAGGTAACTTCACAGTTTAAGCATACAATTGCAGTAATGTTTGCAGAAATTAATTAAAAACAATCAATACCTTTTAATCAAAAGAAAATACCGCTGCTTACAATTATTTGTAAATATGTTCTCATATTTTAAAGTTAAGATAATATTAAAACCAGGTTATATGGAGCCATTCAATATGTCGTGCGATTGAAATATAAAATACGGCTTTACTTTCTGTTTCTGAAAAAGAATGTGGAAACACCTTTTATAGAAATTTACAAATATGTTTGATGTTTCTTCTTCAAGTCAAAAAATGTTTCGAAAATTCTTTTTTTTTACTTTTTCTATTGCAAAAGAAAAGGAACACGTTCAACAGAAACAATGTTATTTATTTGTTCGACAATATTGTGTCCAGTTATAGTCTGAAATGGCTTTTGTGTATTGTATAATTTAGATAAAACGTTAAATGAATGAATGAATGAATGAATGAATGATTACCGAAAATGGATTTTCTTTGCATATTATCAATGAATAGTATCGGAAGTATGCCTAACGGTACCGTTGGCATTTTCTATTGTAATTTTTACTGTAGGTTAAATTCATCTTCGAGATATTTATACCCAATGAACAGCCATAAATGATTCACATCGTAGATTTAACAACTGAAAAAAGTGGCTAGAAGGTTGTAAAGTTTTGCTGTTTAGCATAATGTTTGTAATACTATATAAAACAAATATGTGACAAAAACTCATAAATAACTTATCATAAATCTTATAAGGAATCGATATATTCGTTTTTAGATATGTTTAGAATATTCAGCCTATTGTTTGGATTGTTGAAATATGAATGTAATTATTCATTAACGTACTTTCATACCTGTTCAAATGATACGATCTGAATAAATCGATCGTATTTGAATTATTTGGAATTTGGCAACAAATATATGCATCGTCCTTTGGCAAACAGTAGTTGAGTATTGAGTAAATGTAAATCTTAGTATAATTCATACAGGCTGCAGACTTGTTTTAAGGTAAGATCGGTAACTTATAAATTAAAGTTCAAGGAGCAAATGAAGCAAGCAAAGCCTGGATAAAAGCTTCAAAACTGGTTATCTAACCGTACATGGTCACATGTTTACGCAGAGAAGCATGTATCGGCTTAAAAGCAAAGATATAATTTACTGTATAACAAGGAACCATAATTGACATGACACAATATTTCCTCTGGTAAACATTATTCAACCCCTACAGCTGGCCATATACTGCATGTACCAATTAAAGAACACGGTTTTTTAAAAAATGGAAGAGTTTTACGATAGAAAGACGTCTAACGAGTCTTTTACATACACGCTCCTTTTTAGTTCTGGATCTGAAGCAAGCAAAGCCTGGGATACACAAGCTGTCAAAACTGGGTTATCTCTAACGTAACATGGGTACACATGTTTTATCTGCAGAGAAAGGCATGTAATTGACTTAAGAAGCGAAAAGATAAAAAACGTTACTGTATAACCAAGAGAACCTCATATTGGAACAAAAAAATGTACACATTTTTGTTTTTCAGATCTGGTAGACAATTTGTTCAAACGCCACGTACAGCTGGCCATATAATCACTGACCAATTCTACAAGAACACGTACGGTTTTAATAAAAATGAAAGAGTTTTACGATAAGAAAGAACGTCTAACGAGTCTATCTTACACACTACAACGCATCCTTTTTAGTTCTGGATTCTGAAAAGTAGGTAGTTAGTCACCATCTGTTTCATTCTCTTGACCTGAATCTTTTTGTTGCAGGTACTTAAGATAATATTTTCTGGAAAGGAATGTAAGTCAAGAACTTCTTAAAAGGCAAGAGGTCACGTGACTCTACAATATCAATGTAGAGGCTATAATGTCGAACACATTTGCTTACGTATTTATTCAGTAAGTAAGAGACAATTGTATCCTAATGAGAAATTTGCACATCTGGGATTTATTTATCTCAACAAAACCGATTTTTTTCTGATAGAATATAAGCAATAGAGTTGAAATAGGTAAGTGTTTGCAAGGAATAGATATTAACATTATCATTCCAAAAGGAAATCTGTTGCAACATGGGTTCTTATAGAATGAACATTGAACATAATTGCGGAAATTGTATAACGCGTTGAAAAAATTTCAACAGTCTAGGGTCTCTTTGCAGTGCAGTTAATCATCCTCCAGAGTATTCACAAATGGTACTTTGTTTTCATCTGCTTTTTAAAAAGATTATTTAAATATGTCTTGTAAACTGTGGAATATTTCATAGTGTTGTATATAAACGTATTGTTTGGGAAATCAAAAGCAGGTGACGACTGAATATTGTAAGATCTATGTGTTATTGTATTCATTTTTTTTGCACAATCTTTGTTTATAAATAATAAAGTTCAATTCTGTCTTTTTCTGACAGGAAAGGAGTTTGTGAATATTACACGCACAGGTGCACACGCACACGAACATTCATCAAACCAAAAAAAGATGGCCCAACATATTATTAGTGCTCGTTTCATTTAAGGCTAAAACAATATTTATCACATACCCGTCAAAATAGTATTGAACCACAGTTTGTAGAGACGCGCTAAATGTTAAATATATTATAAATGTGTCAATTCAATATGATTCTTTTTGAATCTAACTTTATTAAACACGTTCAATAAATTAAGTATTGAAGCTACACTCATTCAATATCAACTTTTTGTTTGAACAGAAAAAGAACAGAGAGAAAAATATTTCCATTTGATCATTACACGATAAAACATATCATATCATATCATATCATATCATATTGAAACCAGCTTAATGAGGTTATGCCAGCTTAATAATGTTAAATGCTAAATGTTCAGAAATGCAAAACCATGACAGAATAAGTTTCTGATTTCAGAATAAAAAAAGAACAAGAAATAAAAAAGATATCGTGGAAACTTGCATAGTCATTCAACTATCTGTTTGTAAGGAATGGACTTATTCTATATAAAGAACAAAGGCAAAAAGGAGGATCGGTGTTAACTTTTAATAAATCTAGTTTGCAAGTTAATGAGTTTCTTCAGTGTTATCTCTGTCAAAATTAGCAGTTTCATAAAAGATTATAAGGAACATTCCATTTAAAGACCAACATATGCTCGTCATTCTAATATAAAGGATTATTAACAAATGCGTCATATCTAAAACACACACCTACTTAGTCAATAATTGAATATAAATGGCTCTCAATCGCTGTAGGTTCGATCAGCGCCAGCGTCTTCGGATTCATATTACGTGACAAAGCTTTCTAAAAGACGCCGTGATATTCTTTCAAAAGATAAAATTATTTTATCGTAATCTAATTCTAAAGAATTGTATGAGCGCAAACGGCTGCTATGACATTATACTGTAAACAGCATTTAAAATATTTCCTGGAATATGTTAACCTTAAAAAAATTAAGATCACTCGTGACCATGACGACCTGGCTTCCGCTTTTGAAGGCGACGTTTGTGTTTCGTCAATATATACATTAAGCACAATAATACTTTCTTCGTAACGGTATATCTAAGACATTTGCCAAGCTATTGGTTTCTTACGTTTCTGCAAAGCATGATTCGCGAATTCGGCGTTACCCAGTGAAAATGGTCTCCGTCACATTTAAATTAAATTTTAGTGTTATAATTATGACCTGCGTACTTTGGCGAATACATCGAATATCTAAATCCACAATGTTATATGTTTTAATGATATCAACAAATAAAAAATGTCGCATTCAGTACGATAGAAAGGTCGTCATTCTCACCAATGATCTTGAAAGATAAACGCGTTCATTAAAATATTTGTATGATGTTTAAAACATAATGTCTCAGAAACCGTATGCGCTAATTCATTTCTTTTCAATTTGATTTACATTTTAAAAAAATTGGTTCATTTACTTTCACTCGTGCTCGTGTCGATCATATACATCTTTTTGCACAGTTCTGTGTTACTTTATCACAATTCCTGCGTTATTTGTATATGTCTGCCTTACCAGATACATAACAGTGTTTAATGCTTTAGTATGTTACCATGCTAAAATGTTTAATATGATTTTACTTGTTTACTTATTAATAAAGGTATTACTTGTAAACAGTTTGTAACAATAGCTTGGCGTTTTTATCTATTTTTTTTATCAAACGTAATTCAGTCTTAGTTTATACGGTTGCTTAGCTTATATAACGCTTCACTTTTCTCCAAGAAATATGCATGGTGAGTCGTAACATTTCCCGATAAATGATTTATACCCCTTAAACCATAATGCGGCACAGTTAATGATATTTACAATCAATTATTTCTAATACGTTTAGATAATTTAATGTCTCTTATTACTTTCAGTTGAGTCTATTCTAAACACTTCAATGATATGTCTCTTAATGCTTGGCTGAACATTTGATGACTCAGCAGTTTCATAAATCAGCATCTATTTCCATCTCGAATAAAGTCTAACTCATGTCTCATTTTTAGTAGCATTATAATTGTATGTCAATTTTCCTTATGTGATATTGCATACATGTTGTACTAGATCTTCTTTTAAGTTTGAATATAAATGTAAGTTTTCATCTCAAAAACCTTATAATTACGAGAATTTATTATTAATGGCAAGTATATTCTGTTATGTTATGACATGTAATTAATCACATGCCAGGAGTGTTGGTGTGTGTTTATTACAGTTTGATTTGACTAAAGGTTTTAACTTTTTCCGGCATTAACAGCTTCTAAGCGATTTCTCTTCCGTTCTTTTTTTCTACTGTTTTGATATTCATTATGCCTACAATTTACATTACATAATCGATGTAATTTATTTTCATTATCATATAAAGGCAAACATCTTTTTGAAGATATTTTCTTTTCTTTTACGTCATTCACCCTCAATCACTTGTTCAGAAACTTGTCGAATAACTTACAAGAACGACCTTCGTCTTTGTCTTGAA